ACCACCACCACCACCCCAACGCCGCCGCGGTCCCAGCCGGGAGGGTGGCTGGGTCGTAGATGGCAGCTGTCGTTCGTGATATGGCACCCGCTCTTCTGCCGCCTTTGAGCCGCCTCTGTTTAGTTTTGTGAACCGGCAGTTAAGCCCCCCAAGGTTAGGTTGGGTTTAGACTTGCGTGCAAATGCTTTGCGCTTTCTTTTCAGCGTGTAAGGCCTGTTAGCCGCACTCTTGGCAATGCTGGCTTTCAGGGTTCCTGTTTGGCTCCATTAAGGATTTTTGTTTGTGCTTTTTTGTTTTTGATGCTCAGATTGGGTTGGAGCTGCTTGCCTGTAGTTGAAGAATAATTCTGGCTTCGCTGTTTATCCCAGCAAGCGCGAAAGAGCTGCTGCTGTGACGTATTTTGAGTTGTGATCGCATTAGCCTAGCAGGAGTGGGCCAGGAGAGTAAGTGGATGTCAGGTTACAGTACTTGCTGAACAACCTTTGAAATAAATAAAAGCTGCCTATTGGTGTTCACATTAAGAGAAGATTTGGAAAAAGTGGGAAATGTCAACATGTAGCAAGGAAATAGTTAATCTGTAAATTTGAGGCATTTGTTTCTGAAGCAGATTTTCCTCATGAATAGCATAACTGGATGGATGCCATGCAGAGAGGGGCCCTTCAAGATGGTATTTGTTCTCCTCTTGGTAATCTGTTCTGTTGCGTTCTTTGGTGCAGTAGTTGAACGTCTGCTTTAATCGCGTTTCGGTTCCTCTCCCCATTACCTCTCCAATGACTAGCAGACTCTTACCTGATTTACTGGGGAATTTGCAGCTTTGAATTTGCAGTTATGTTCTTCACAATCTCAAGCTCTTCATCAAATCATCCTAGCAAAACATTCTCTGAAACTGGAGCAGTTCTTCATTTTTGTTTACCAGCTCTTTCAGGAGTGCTGATAGCGTTTTGCGTGTGTGAGTTATCCTAATAGCAATACGGGCATCTGAGTAGGAAGCTGAATGTTGCAGAGAGGTTGCAGGTTGAGCAGAAGAGATACCTGCGTACAGTGTAGCCCTTATTCAGGTACACAGGGATCTCCCTGGCTTCAGCATGTCAGCTCTGACAGATTTTGGTGCATTCATTTAGACGTGGCTGGCCAGTCTGTGACTGTTGAGCTGTGTGGGGCTCTTCAGCAATTTGGGTGCAGCTGCTTTTCCAGGGCTGTGGTCCATGGCCAGACTCTGGCATCCAAACATCCATCGATGGGTTAAGGTGACTTGGGGGAGCGGCTGTGGTCAGTGCTGCCCAGTCTTGTCACACAGCGCAGCCGTGGGATTTTCCAGGGAGCTGTTCCGTTGTTTGGTTAGTGAGTGCAGCCTCCACTTGGCTCTCCAGGGGCCTCAGTGTGTTTCTTCTGTTGTTAAGGGAGATGTTACACATTAAAATCTGAGCCAAAGTAACAGTATGTTGCAGGTGATGTCACCCATCCCCACCTGGCCACACCCTGCTGTTGTTCACCTCTTGCAGGCTCTGATGTTTATCTGACAATATGAGAAGCCGGTTCAGTAGAGTAGAGCAGCAAAAAAAATCCATCAAAAAAAAAAAAAAGTGAGTTTCTTTTCTGCCAGTTCTGCAAAAGGATGTGTTTTAAGGCTGGTGCAGGGAAGGGATCAGGGATCATCCAGGAGCAGGCATGGGAGCTGTGAAACCGGTGGCAAGGCTAAGCTGACCTGGTTTCCCTTGCTGTAACTTGTGGCTTCACACTCTGCTATATGAAAGCTTTGACCTGTGGCTTGAAGAGTCAAGAAGTTTCTGTGTTAGGAAGGAAGAATCTGAGAGTTGCTTGACAGATGCTTTAAGAGAGCCTGTTCACTGAGACCACATTTGAAACATAAAGTGAAGACAGGGCATTCTTGGCTTTTCCTGGATAAAGTAGTTTGAATGTTGGGGTCTCATACCCTGTTTCTAGGATACTTGCAAATCTGGGTGCTTGATTCCAAAGCGTGCATTTTGTTACTTTGGCTCATACAAAATAATGGTCGTTATGAAACTCATTGTATGATTTCATAAATTTACTTAAATCTTGTCAAGTCGTGATAGCTGATTGCAATATGAATGTTTTCCCTTAGTGTGTTGTGGAACCAGTCCTAAAGGCAGTAATTTTTGCTGCAGCACACAGCAGCTTGATACTCAGCTGCAGAACCATAGATTTGATACTTCTTTCAATGTTTCTGAAGTTAGTAGGGGAAATGATCTGTTTCTGAATGGCTATATCGAGTAAATGAATCGGCATGTGATCCTGATAGAGGGGAAAATGGACCAGCTGCCCTTTTTCTTCATTGCTTTTTCTTTAAGAAGAAGAAAAAAACACTAATATTTGCATTTTGTTCTGACGGTGTCCTTGAATTCTGCAAAATTAGTCGTATCGGATGTCTGACTACACAGATTACTGATGGTGTGAGATACCTTGCCACATGCCAGACCAGTAGTGAGACTGCAGGCAAGAATCTGCTTGACTAGAAAGTGAAAACTTACCTTGATTGAAGAAAAGGTTTCTTAGTAATGAGAGATTAATAACTTTTGTAATGTTTTTAACTGTAAAGAATGTCAAACACATTTACAAAACTGAACAATCCGTCTGTGCTGTAACGTAATGTGTGTTTATTTAACAGCACCACTTAAAAATGGAGGCTAAGAAACTAGTAAAAATATCTAACTAAAATTTTGAGAACGTAACTAGCTATTTTGTATTGGGGACACCAGGTTTAATGCAACTTTATGAAGAAGTCTTGTGATCAGTTTCCTGTATGTGCAGGATGTTGAAGCCTGGCATTAATTCTCTTCTGAAAGGTACTACCATCATCAGTGTGCGGTCTAGTACTGTGCAAAAAAAAAATCAGATTCAGCAATAAGAAAGGAAAAACTTTTTACAGTTGTCTCCTTATTTCCACAGAAGGCGCAGCCAGAATTTGCCTCGAGTGCTTGCTCTTCTGATCTATTTATGTCAAAATAAACAATATCTTAAGAGAATATTGTCTTAAGGAAAAAAAAAATGGGAATCTCATCACCTGGAATCATATTTGTAATTTCATGGTTGTCGTTGAGGTTAGGACCTGTAGACCCATCTGGCTTAATGGAATAGCTGATCGCTACGTGGACAAGTACCAGTTAAGTGTAGAAGGAAAAGCTTTTTCACCCTGAGGACAGGCAGACAATGGAGCAGGTTGCCCAGAGAGGTTGTGCAGGCTCTGTCCTTGGAGGTTTTCAAGACCCACCAGCACACAGCCCTGAGTAGCCCGGTCTGGTCCCAGAGCTGGCCCTGCTTTGGGCAGGAGGTTGGGCTGGAGCCCTCCCGGGGGCCTTTCCTGCCTGAGGGATTCTGTGGTTCTGTGATTCGAAGCATGAGGTTCATCTGATTTTTAAAAGGCATTTGATGACTGCAGTGTCCTCTCTTACTCAATCCAGGCTGCTAGTTGTAATCTTAGTCTCTTTCTTTTCGTTGTCTCATTTCCTTGTCATCAGTCTCTTTGCCTGCTTAGCTTGTGTTTTTGGTATTCCAGCCCACTGTTTTTCTTCTTTGCCAACTAACGTCTCTTCCCAGCCGCTCCTCCATCTTATTTCTCGTCCGGCTTCCTTACTTGATTTTTTTCCCAGTCCCAGTTCCCTCCTTTTGCCCATCCACCCTCACTCCCTCTGGCTTCTCCCCTCCCCCCCTCAATGCCTGGCCTTTGGCCATGCAGTGGTGAAAACAGACAGCTTCCTCCTCCACACTGCTCGGTCAGCGGGGAAGTGGATATTCTCCAGTCCTAGAGGATCATCTATTTGCTCTCAGCTTCCATGTGGCTTACCTCCTGCAAAACTGTTCAAGAGCACAGGCAGTCTTCCCTTGTCCCCTTATAACGTGGCCAAATTTGAGTGGACATTGGGTGCCTACCACTAATAGAAGGTACGCCTGTAACAGAGATTCCTGTCCTTTTCCACGCTGTGAAATCTGTTACAAGCTTTAAGCTACGTTAGTGTTTGAAAGCGGAATGAGTGCACTATGTACATGTAAATATTTAAGGCACTTTCCTCAGCTGTTTCTGGGAAAGTTTCAACAAAGTGACATCAGCTTGTTCAAACAAGTTATCAAGAGACAGATAACAACTCGGACCACGCTTTTATTGATAGCACATAGTGAAACGTAAGAGAGATGGGCACAAAATAGGTGAGTTTTTGTAATGGCAAGTGACTGTGGGCCTTAATTTATGGCTTCATGGGAGGAGGTGATTTTTATGGGTCTTGGGAGGGCAGGTTGCTTGTTTTTTTGCCCATAACTTCTTGGCCTTCCTTTAAAGTGCTGGACTAGATACTTTCTGTGCTATAGCCTGTACAGGATAAATAAAAACTGCAAGTTGCAATTCAGTGATTTGTGGTTAGGAGGGATTTAAATATACTGGTATTAGTGCACTTAGAAATGGAATGAGGAGGAGAAATGGCATTGCCTGCAAAGCAGCTAAAACGTAATACATGGTAATAGAATTTGGAGACAAAAGGGAAGTTACCCTGTACTTGAATGTTTTAATGATTATTTTTGTTTCTCTTCTTATCTTAGAATCTTTTCTCCATTTACCAGCACCAAAGAGTGTGATGGTTTATTCCTATAACTTCTGTAGCTCACTGAGGTGGTCTCCTGTTGAAGTGGACAGAGGCTCGGTGTTGTATACAGTCCATTTTAAAACGTAAGTAAATAGTTCTAAAATAACAAGTTGATTTTATTCTAATCCAGTAACAGAATTAGTGTTTAAAAAAAAACACTAAAAATGAATAAGCGTAAAAAATGGAAAATGAGTTATTACAGTTGTTTTTATGTATATGTGAAGAGAGTCTCAAGACTGAGAATCCTTTAGCCTGTGGTGTTTCCACTAAACTAAGAAAAAAATTAAGACCTTTCCTAGTCACTTCATTTTTTTCCCCTGAAGCAATTCAGTTGGTATTTTTCATGGATTCTGTTGGATGTTCTTGCTTGTTTTAAACTTTGTTATAAGCACAGTGTTTGAGCTTTTTTCTGATGCTGATATGAACTGCTCTGAAGTTTCAGAATACTTTAAATCACAGGTTGATGGAGCCTCTTCTTCCAGGTCAAAGAGGATGCCAAGAGCACGCAGTAATGTTGCATGGTTTCCTGTATAAATCTAGCCTTACTGAATTCTCTCTAACAAATTTTAGTTTTCCTAGATACCGAAGAGTTGCAGGTGTTGAAAGGCCCTATAGAATAAACCTGCATGAAAGTGGTAGTTCTGTAACATGTTCTTTTTAACAGAAATTGGCTAGGTGGGAGGGATTATATTTTGGAGATTTGATAGTTGCACTGTTTTGCTGATACTTGCCTGTTGTTTTGCATTGCAGAGGGGCCTTTAACCAGTGGGATGAGATGAACTGCACCCGTATTACCCAGACTGAATGCAACTTCCCTCAGTTACTTAACAAACGGCGTTGGACTATCATTTTGCGTGTGAGGGCTGAGTTAGGGCAAATGGTTTCTGACTGGGTGGAAACAGATCCATTTGTGGCAGAGAGAAACAGTAAGTGTTCCTCATGATTTCACTGAGTCCCTCAAAGGAGATTTCTCTGAAAAATATTTGTTGTCTGTTCTAGGCTTTTTTGAGTCTACTACGTACAAAAGCCAAGTGAGATAATTGTGGGTGTTGGTTAAGAAAGATTATGAAGTCTCTCTGTATCATTAGAAATTTGATGCTACTCTGTAGTGGTGTTAGCAGTCACCTCTGTAGTGGTGTTAGCATCCGTTCTTTCAGCAGAAAGAGAAATGTGTTACGTACTGGTAAAATAGGAATTAATTTGATGTCTCTGTAAACAAGTGTACTGTTGTTCTCTGTGAAGATATGCTCTTTGAGTGACCGTGGCTGGTTTCAGGACTAGGAGGAGATAGATAAATGTCGAGTTAAAAAATGCCTCTGAAATAATAAGAAAGCAGAGGAAAGGATTTATTAACCCTGTAGTTCAGATTCTACCTTACCTTGTGAGGAGCAATGGTGGTGCATGCTGTGAATAGCATGCTACTTTCCCTGGTGACTTCATTTCTAACTCTTGCATTTTCTCTAGTAGTAATGAGTGCGGCAGTGAGGAGTTGCCTGAATCCTGAGCTGAAGGCTACAGCTGATGTATCCCTAGCTTGTGATGCAGAATTGCTTGTGTCGGGGGAATGGGATCACTGGGGGGTTAGGAAAGCGTTGAGTGAACAGGAATACAGAGCAAAGGAGAGGTTTGATGTGGGAGAGGTGTTTTTGTGCCTCTCTTATTGGAGGAGCGAGAGGAGCGCTATGCTTGTTCTTGTGTGACCAGCCTCGGGATCAGTTCGTAGAGGCTGAGACCTTAGGCTACTTGGCCTGCTCGGTCCTCAAGATCAGTTCCCTTGGAGAGGGGAGTAGGTGCTGCCCTCCCAGCAGTAGCCCATGGAGGAGAAGGGACTTGTCCTAGGGAATTTGCGTGAACACACAAGCTGTTTGCAGCTGTATAGAGACAGGAAGTAGAAAGAAACTGAAGTTTCCGTACCAACATAAAAATCACAGGGCTGTTTTTCTTTAAAGTGACAGTAGGCGAGCAGGATTTGCTTCCCCCCCCCACCCCAAGGTAAAAAAAAGCAATGATTGCATGCAAGAATTGATTAATTTTTATTGTTAATATGTTCCCCTCTCTTATATGCAAAGAGCAAGTGTTTTGTTTTGAGATACTGGAGTGCTTTACAAATGCTGGTAAGCTTTACCATTGAAAGAAGTCAAGATACAAAGGAAAAACGACTTGTAATCATAATGATCTATGATCCACATAAAAAGTCTCTTGTAGGATTAGGAATGATAATACCTTGCATAATATTTTTCATGATTTAGGTATCAAAGTGCTTCACAAAAGGAAGTCATAGTCATTACCCTATAGGACAGATGGAGACGTCAAAGAAGGGAGGAGAAAACTAGCTATTCTTTTTCCAGTCTAGTTTGACTCAAAAAAGATGTTTTTAGAGAACCTGGAATTACGTGGCTGAATTAGCTATTTGAAGAAAAATTGAACAAAATAATATCACCAGTGAGTACAAATAGATTCAGCTACAATCTTGTGGATATTTGCTTACTATTCAGGGAAAGTTAACTGGAAATGGTTCTTTTGATTATCTAATTTCACATATGCTTTCAAGCCTTTTTCTTAAGGTTTATAGTAAATTAGATGTCTTAAATGCATTAAGTAGATGAGCGAATATTGTATACCTGTTCCTCAGAAAAAATCTCTTGATATTCAGCAGGTTTGCAGAGTGTACCAAAATAAAGCTGGACACAGCTGTGATGGGGTGTTCAGCATCCCAGAGGTTCACTGTTCTTTCTGTGTTTGTTTTCAGCTACTCTAGGACCCCCTAAAGTGAACAGTGTGACTGTAAGCTCTGACTCACTTCTCATTAGTGTTACACCCCCTTTTGGATCTGAACTAGGTGAGCATCTTCAGTATCATGTGTCCTACTGGGAGAACTCAACAAGTACTACCAAAAAAGTAAGAATTCTCGCTATTTTGTTCTTGCTGTCTCATGTCTCTTAGTCACGGAGGCATTGTCTCTTGGCAAAACAGCAGAAATGGAGGAAGCACGCTGCAATGTAATTTTTTTTTCCTAGCAGCAAAGGTCAGCGGTTGAGCCAAGACCAGATTAACTTTTGTTCAAGTCACCAAGTATTGCATGTATGACTAAATTTTCAAAACAAGTTTTTTCCTCCATATAAAATCAAGGTTAAACCACATTCCAGATCAAAGAAGAGAGTCCACAAAGTGCAAAGTTGTTTTTAAAATGGCGTTTAGATTCCAAAGTTCGGGCAGTTTGGAAGATTCTGAAATACCCTCCCTCCTTTCCTGTGCTGTGCTTGTTTGTGCCAGTAGCTTCAATAACCGGCCGCTTGGGCCTGATGTTGCCTGTGCTCCTAGGGTAGAGAGAGGCAAGAGCTACTAGAAACATGTTGGACACAGCTGGGATGAGCAGCTGTCCCAGATCAGACTGAAACTTGGCTCTGTCTCACTGTGCGCTTATGCTGCTGTCCTTAGAAATTGGTGAATGTGGTCTACGCTGACTGGCTTTGCAGGGGAGAAATTAAGTTACATTTAAAAAGAAGAAGAATCAGAAGAACTGCATTCTAACATTTAAAAACTAGAAGCAGAAAAGGTTTCATTTTTTATTTTTACTTTTAAAACCTTTTATTTCAAAGGACCTTGCTAAATCCAAAAAAACCTCCACTTCCTTCCTTTCTTGCAAAAATGTGCATTTTTCTGACATGTATAAAACACCTTCATGTTTGACACTCAGACAAGAAGTCACTCTTGCATGGTTATTTAGGCTTCACTGAGCTTCTCATCCTAGCCCCTTAAAGGTAAAAAGTCACAAAAAACAGTGTGGGGGCCATGTTGAGACTGGGGGGTTTTGTACTGTCCATCGGCTCTTTTCCTGCTCAGTAGGAAAAGATGAGACTTTGCCGAAATGTGCTTCGGTCAGCCGCCTCTGATGGTGGAGACGCTTCTCATGACTTGTTTTTCCCTCCCCCTTCCTATATTACCTTCACTGCCTGAGGTGTTAGAGAAGCAGTGTATAAAGTGTCCGGTGGGATATTGTGGCTCAAATGAGACCTTGCAGCAGTTTTTATGCCTTTGCTCTTTGTGTCCTCATAGACGGTTTTAAATGTTCAGATATCATTTCATTTAAAAACAATGAAATTTCAAATGTATTAAAATAGGAATGTTGAAATATATGCCACTGCTTCTCTTGACATGTTAGGGAAAGCCGAATTATGAAAACAAAATCTGTGGTTTTTGAATGGAAAACTTAGTTATGGGGGAGGGGAATTGTATTGAGGACAGCTCTATGGTTTTTACAAATACTTGCATTTCTGGATTTTTTGTTGTCTTTTAAACAGGAGACAAAGACGAGCAATACGCTATTCAAAATTAGAAATCTAAAGGAGATGACACTATATTGTTTTAAAGTACAAGTAGAGTTCATGATAGATCCAGATCTCCAGATACTTGGACTACAAAGTGTCCCAGAGTGTTACAGAACTACAGTCAGTGGTATACATCTGATTTTGTTAATATTTTTTATATATAACGGAATGGGTGGGGGACATGAGTCTTAGATGGTACAACTAGTCACTTGTATGACCATACTTGTCAGGAGGGCTAAGAGGGCACCACTGATAGCCGTTTATAGTTGTCACTAATAGCAAAAGAATAAGGAGTTTTCAGTCAGTAATTGCAGGTCTGTGTTTTAGTCTTCCCTTGTCCTTCTCCTTCATAAATACTTTAGGTTAGTCAAAGACCTTTTTAACGATATTACTTCCTACAAAAAAAAAAAAAAACAAAACTAAATACGTGGTCTTTAGATGAAAATATTGGTGAAAGAGACGGTGTTACTCTTGCACTACTTGTTACTCTGCCCCTCAGTCACTCCTTCCTGCAAGACAGGCGTGTCCCTCTCCTCTTTGGCCTGCTTCCCCTTCTGTGATGTTTTTGAGCTTTGTGTGTTTGTACTGGATATAAGATGGGATGTGGGAAAGAGAGGGCAGCTCTAAAATAACAGAATTTTTCCCTCTCTCAAGTCTCTCCTGACCACTGGCACACAGATAAGCTGCATCTTTAGTACGCTTTGAACACGCCCAAAGATGCAGAGGCGAAACCTGCTTAGGCAATTGCTGTTCCCTGGAAAGAGCTGACCTCGAAAGCACCTGACTGCAAGCCCATGCCCCGGGCTGCTGAAGGCAGCGATACTTCCTTTGCCAAGAAAAGCCCCTGGCATTAATGGCACCTTGCTGACAAATTAGAGGGTGGAAGAGCAGATTCCGCTCCCTGCCTGCCCTCTGCCCGGCAGCTGCGATTCCTCCAGCTCTGCCTTTGCCCTGCCGGCATGGCCTGGAGAAGGTTGCCTTAGGCTTGTGGGTAAGGGGGAGCAGCTCATCTCAGCTGGTGATTTTCATGCAGAATCACAGAACAAACAACTCCTGAACACAGGCATTTAGATTTCTTTTATATAGTAGGGTTGGGATTTTAACCTTAGAAATTCTACTTTGATTAGCCTGTGTAGCAAACTTCAGCTTATTACACATGACATGTGATGTTGTGTAAATATGAACCTACTTTTTTTTTTTTTTTTCCAGAGGCAACCAGAACTGGATATATTATACTAATATTTCTGTTAACCTTATTTCTTGTAATTCTTGTAATAGTTGGTTTGTTTCTTATGTGGAGATACCACAACACAATTAAATACTGGTCTCGGCCACCTTTCAAAATCCCATCACACTTTGAAGAGGTATGTGTAGACTTTTTATTTTTCCCCTACTTCTCCCCTCCGCACAAGGCAGCGTTGAGCTTGGAGTAACTATGAATGAAACTAGTTGTAACCTAAGATAAATCTTTCTTCAGCCTTTCAGTTTAGATATAACCAATCACTGATTTAGTGTAAACTATTACCTTTCTAATACATGATATTTGACCTTATTCCTCTTTTACTTAACCATAATTTTTATTCTCTGAACTAAGACACAAATACTGCTATATTCCCCTTATGAAACTGGAGTAAGACTCCATTCCTTGTCTGCCCAACTTTGCTTATCTAATACATCAGGTCTGAAACAGTTGTTTACTTCAAGCAAAAAGGTTGTGTGTGCTGCAGAACATGTACTTAGGATTTAGGTCTCTGATTAGAAATAAAATATTGAAAAGTGAACGCCGATCATTTTAAGGGCAAGGACTCACTTGAAGAATCAAGACTACCTAAGGAAGTGTTCTTGTTTTTTTGTTTTTGTATTTTTCCCCTGTAGTTTTATGTAATTCTCAAATCTAAAAAATCACCCTGGGACTTTTTTTTTCCTCCTTGCAGCTCACACATTTCTGTACTAAACAATGTTGTTTCACTCCTGTTCATCTTCCTCTTTTTAGTATTTAAACAGGAAGTAGTCTTTAAGCAAAGTTTTGTTTTTTTTTTTATGTCAAACTTGTTATTCAGCATGTTTTCCATATTTAAAAAAAAAGTTTGTATTTACTAGTGTTTTTTGAGGTTTATTTCTTTGGCTGTATATATCTACATATCAGAGTAATCCTTTGTACTATGCCAGATTTTTATGAAAGTATGAGTGAAGGAACCCAGACTTTCTCCAAAACCTTGAGCACATGATTTTCTCTCTTCATGCTTACCTCAGTTCCCAGTTTATGAGGACTCGGTGAAGACAGCTATGTCACATACCAAGCAAAATGTATCTCATGTAGAAAAAAAAAATCCTTGTACATTGCCTTAAAATAGTGCACGTTGCATGCAAAGGACTGCAAGAATTAATCCATCTCCCCTCCTGTTTGTTTTCTGTTAGAGTCTATAATCATGTGTTCTGGAGTAATTGATTTAATCTGGAAAATACGCAGCAAAAGTAGATAGTCTTGAGCAATGACGAGCCTGTTTTCAGGCAAAACACTGATTAGAAAAGAAGGAAAATCAGTAAATATGTATAATTTTTTTAATATATATTTTTAAATGGGATCAAGTGGCCTGGGGCTTCTCCTCTTAAAGAATTTTCATTAGTGAAAAATACCAGTTACTGTAAGGCAGTTTCATATGTACTATTCTAGCTTTTCAGAAAATCACATGGTTCCTTCTTTTACAGAAGTATCTAAGCTTTCAGCATCTGAGTTACAGGAAACAGTTCTAACACAGAAACTCCTTCACACAAAGCCAAATCACAGTTCACTTATGTCCTGAATTCACTAAAATGTATTGGAGGCTCCTGTATGAAACATCTGTTTTTAATTCACCTGATAAAATAAATCTGTTGCTCATCATCCCTGCTATGATTAGAGAAACAGTGGTATCCTAATTGAAACTAGGGCTAATTTTGTCTTTTGATACATGATTGCAACTGCAGCCCTGCCTCAGCCAGATTATGGTACCTCCTCTGGTAGCGAACAAGCTTTTGAGTAAAACTAAAATACTGTGCTGAAGCATGTAATAATATGAAGGTGTCTGTATTCTGGACTCTTTTCAGTCAGAGAAAAACTGCTTAATAGCAAGTTTTTGGTTCAGCACGTGAAGGGGTAAAAGGCTTTAATCCCTCTTGAAACATAGGATCATTTTGGTAATAAGGAGATTATATGGCAGTGACAGGGGGAACAGAAAACACTTTCTGTGGCCTACCTTTTTTCCTAACCTTCCTTTCTTTTGATTAAAAAAATTAAATATTCAGTGTGAAGCTGATGACTTAAGTTGGGGGGGGGGTAGGAATGACTAAAGCAATAAGTAACTGCAAGAGAAGAATTCCACTAGGGTTTTCTGGTAATAATAAAAGGGTGCACATCTGACTTGCCTTACACTGAACAAAGCATAATCGTGTATCTTTGCTTGCCCCACTGCTTTTTCAGACTTGATAAAAGCTATTAGTTGCTCAGGTTCCTGTAGGTCTAGGCTATGTCCCCAGCAGCATAGTTCATGTCTGTGGTTTGTTCTTAACTAGTAGGCATTTGCTTAAACTGACACGAGAAAGAATATTAGCTAAAGATAGATCATCAAAAATTAGGAAATACGGGGTAGCTTTAACTCATTTAAATGGACATTGGCATGATCTTTTTTTTTTTCCACAGAAATAAATAAGATAGATAGATAGATAGCTTTGCAGGTATTTTTAACTCACTCAGTTCCCCCTTGTTCATTGTAGTTTCATGGAAGGCCAGAATGGAATATATGTTTAGCAGCCATCTTTCTGAATTTAGGTCTGAAGCAACCTGCCGCTCAGTGGTGGTAACCTCTCTGACTCTGTTTGTAATGTCCAATATGCCTGTTCTCTGGTTAGAACCTAAACCGTTGTTTCTATCTTCCAGTATTTAAAAGATCCCAGCATGCCTGGTTTAGAGGCATTGGAGAATTGTGCTGAGGAAGAGCCCTGTGATTCCTTATCTGTTGTGTGTGATGAAGAAAGAAGCCAGGAATGTGATGGCAATGGGGAGACTAAAGCTGATTTCCACAGCAGCTCCAGTGACAGTGAACTAACTTAAGTGGGGCCTCTAGTGAGACACCTGAACCCAGCCTTGCGATGCCTCCCACGAGTGGCACTCCCCAGCTACTGACAGGACAAGCTATGGCCAAAATGCTGTCCTTGTCGAATCCTGGGCAAAAGTCTGCTTCCTGAGGGTATTGTGGAACCTGAGCCTTTGTTTAAATGGTTTCTGCTGTACTACAATAGCACCTGCATTCTCCTGGAAAGAGTTAAAAGGTGGAACGTGAAGGGGAAATGAACACTAAATAGCCATAAGACAGACAGATATGATTGAAACAAAACTGATACGTTAACATCATTGTAATAAACCTTTTCCCAAGGTGCAACAAAGCTTTGAGAAATGCAGCACTTTATGGTAGGATGTAATACAACCTGGGATTTTTCAGTGAGTAATTGCATCATCAATTACTTTTATAGTGGCTTTTTTGTTGTTGTTCTTGTTGCTTTATTTGTGAATTCTGTCTTAGCACTCAAAGTGTATTACATTCACCTCCAATATCCTTTTTTGAATCAGTTTAAGTACTTGGTCTTCTGTGACTTCCACTTCTTTGCTCCAGATAAAAATGGCAGTCTAAAGAGAAACCGACTGTACTTTACCTTCCTCAGAGTGAACCTGTGCAAAGAACTCCAAGAAAGGCACCGGACAGTTCATTCCTCCTCCCTTGATATGTGCCTCCTAATGCATTCATAAGAAGCATTAATCTTTTGCTCCTACAGGGAAACAATGATATTCTTCATGGTAAAAAATGAACTTTAAAATACATTTTGTTCAGCATTTGTATGAAATGTATCAACAATTATCAGACACTAGAATTTCTTTTTGGCAATCAGACTAGTCCTGCAAAAGGAAAGATGAATGTGTGTTTTGAGTCTCATGAAGCAGAAGCAGTCGACTGAATTAAGTCTTACAGCGCAATCGGCTAAGGAAGGAAAGGAAGGGTGGAACCTTTCCACTTCCCAGTGCGGAAATAATTAAAAAGAAAAAAAAACACACACACACACACACACAAAGTAAAAGAATTAACCACTTCTTACATAATAAAAGGTATTTTTATTCCACTAAAGGTGTTTGTTTAAAAATGAAATAAAATGAATATCCTTAATTACTTGGAAGTGATTTGTTCAAGTTACTTACAGTTAGCTGTTAACAGACCTGGTGCCTGCCACAGCTGTCAGTTATCTGTGCTAAAACTGTTCCACCCCTTCTGGGAATATACAAGACAACAATGAAAATCAGTGACATTTTTCATGAATCTGCTTCCTTGAAGAAGTAATCCTCTCATCACTTGTGATTTGGCAACATACCAAAGCAGTGAGTTATCTGAAGACTTAGTCATACTTAAAGTAAGTCTGACAAGAATTTATAAGTTGGCCAGAAGCTGCATAATAGCCACTTGCTCTTAGGTTTGCCCATATTTTTTTTCAAAACTGCTGTAAACAAATGAAGAACCACAGACTCCTGAAAGGAGCAGCCTATATGCATAACAGAGGTTTTAACTGCCTTATTTTAGAAGCTGATAGTTATAACATCTCCTGCGAACATTTACTAATGCAGCACACACTTTGCAGAATAAGGCCGCCCTACTAAGTAAAAATATAGTAGACTTCTGTTAAGGATGTTTATATTTAATATTTCCTACAGTTAAATAAAAAGGCCAACGTTTAAAAAAAAAAAAATCTTCTATTAACAGTAATTCAGAGGTTATCTCCACAACTGCCAACTGTAGGAGGTCAAAGTGTATGTAAAGTGAGCGACCCTATCCATCTTGGACTGTGCTGGAACTACTGATGGTCTAAAAGCGAATCTAGGGACATTCTGAATAAAACCTGCATGGTTGTTGCAATATGCCTGTTTGGAGCTTAGGGTCCTGCAAAAGCCACATCCTAAAAGTTGTGCCTTTTCTCCTCTTAGCTGCCATATGGAGAGCAAGCAAAACCATACCAATTCCCTAAAACTAGAGGAGATGGTCAAGAAATATTCAGAAGAAAGAAAATGCAGATAACCTCATAAAGGAGCTCCTTCCCTGCAGGTGTTCTTAAGAAAACTGTTTTAAGTGGGGACTTTCATTAAAGCACACAAAAAGCATTCCTCCAGTGTTAAACACTTAGCTCTGCTTGTGCTATTTGAGCATCTGTAAAATACTGTAGATGTAAAATACTACAGATGGGACTAGTTCTAGGCTATGCTTGTTTTTCACTTAGCAAAAAAGCCAACGTGTACATTCACAAGCTTGTTACCAAAAACTGATAGGCTTGAAAACAAAAACAATTTTGTTTAATTGTTAGCTGGTGTAAGACTTGCTTAAAGGCCAGTATTACTTGAGCTATTAAACAGAATACTGTTATCTTGTGATGTTTACACACTATTTTGAGAACATAAGATAAAGTTTATTGCCGTTTTCTGGAATTACAGCCAAACAGACAACTTATGTACAGCGCTATGATTAACACCAGTGAATATATCATAACTCACTGCAGGACAGTGAAATCAGGATAGAAGTTAGTCTAGCCAGTAGCACAATTTCAGCTGCAGTATTTGCTTCATATTCTGTCCACTGGAAAGATTCCCACAAGGGAGCAATTAGATGACTAACAGTATACAGTAACACGCACATTAGTTACATTCTTAAGTTTAATACCATTTGATCAGCTATCTTGATACATTGAAAGTTATAAAAGCTTTTAGACACAAGGTAGATTTAAAAGCTTTAGGAACATGTAAAACTCAAGATAAGGAAGTCACCAACAGCAACATGTATATACAAGATCAGTCCAAAGCCATAAAACACTGATGTTCTCCCTTTCTGTATACTCCAGCTAGAACAAATTGGATTTCAGTAATGGAAACATTCCCATAAAGTGCCCATCAAATTTAGGAAATAAATAAATCTTAACTGGGGCAAGTGGCAGTCCTAAAACTAAAATTATTTCAAGATACTCAATAAGATCATTAGCTTTTTAGAAGTACTACAGCAACGAATACATTTCTATTATATCCCCACTTGAAATGCTTACCATTTCTATTTAAAAGGTAATAGGTAGCAGGATAATCATTCATTTAATCAGCAAAAAAGCTTTCCTTGAAGGAAATCTATGCTGGCATAATATTAACGATGTTAGTCTAACTCTCATTTGTTCTTTACATTCCTTAAGTATGACTAGCATCCGTTTCAGGGTTTTTTACTTTAATAATAGTAAATACACTAAATGCTTATTAGTGTCTCTTACACTGAACAGTATGAGAGTAATTCTACAAGGGCCATGCTGCTACCAAATTTCATTTGTGCTACAGCAGTCAGGAGTCGAGAACAGTCTGATTTGCCATGCAGAATCTGCTTAATACAGGGCCTTGTCTAAAAATTCATCACTGTTTACAAAAAAAAAAAAAAAAAAGAAAAAAGAAATTGCTACTTTAGATTTTTCTGAGCAGTTACATACAATTCTTGAAATCAACTTTTATTTCATACAATAGAATTTACCCTCATTAAATACAGGCTTTACTGGGCCACTTCCATGAGCTCTTTACTACTTCAAGTATACAACTAGCCCTTGTTGTTTACCCTTGCAAAATCAGCTACAGCTCACCAATGCGTGCAAGTAATAAACACCTTTACAGAGTACAGGCATTATCTTGTTAATTCATTTGTAGTTCCACTGAAGTCTCTCTCACATGTCAAGATTTGGAAGATCAAGTCTTAAGGGTTGATAGAAAGCCATGTGTTTGAAGGAATAAGCCTGAAGATTTCAAAAAGAAAGCCTGACTTTCCCTTTTTAAGATATATACAGTCATATGTACATATTCACAAAACTTTCCTATGAAAAGAGGGAGCTTCTTACAGAAACTGTAATTTGTCTCAGTTCAGTTCATATGATTTAGAAAGCAAATGAGAACAAATAAATGTAAATGTATCTACATACAGAATACAACATAGCCGCTATGGAATAGACAATGCTGTACTTGATCTCTCATCCCCATAATTCCTCTGTTCTTCCAAACTTGTAGATCAGAGTACTAAAGAAAAAAAAAAAAATCAGGCCATACAGAAGGTGCAAAAGGTCACTTTAATAGGAACATTATAACCTTATACTGTCTACAGCACAAATCAATGTCCATCCAGGAACCTTAACTTTTAGTCAAGTCGTTACCTTTTTTTTTTTTTTTTTTCATTTATATTTCATTTACCATCCATTTCTGAAAGTATGAGATATAGTTGAAGCAACTGCTCAATTAAAAAATACCCAGTCTTGCAGTAAAAGCAGCTGCCCTCCTAAAGGAAAATAAAAGTAACAAATTCTAATATTTAAGAGATTCTAGGACTGATCTGTGGAGTTACAGAGCAGCAGGTCTCATCCTGGGATATGGCAATCAGTTGAACACAATGCATCATGCTAGGATATAATGTAAGCAGTGAAATTTGTATGAGGAAACCAGAAAGAATATTGATCCTGTGGTGGATAAGGGAGATCCAAATTACAATTTGATTTCCAAAATGCCTTTGATAAGGTTGGAGGCAGTTAAATATTTTCATAGATCAAAAAAAAAAAAAAAAAAACGTCCAGGGAACAAAACCAAGCATGATTTCCTTATCTTTCTTTATACTTTTTTTGATTATTTTGTTCTTATAACCAACAAACCAGTGGTAAAGGAGGACACAGCCACACTAAATCGTAAGAGAATGAATAGGGAGAGAAATGAGAAATATTGACACTGAGAACAACAATAATGAAGTGGTAAGTAAAACAAGTTAGACACTCGGGCAATTCACTAGAGAGGAGAACTATTAATAGAGCATGTTACATTAAGTAGAAAACTTGTGGAGTAACAACCAGGACTGAAGCACAAGTACTGTAGGACATGCACCGTTTAAGGAATACAGGTATTGCGAACAGCATTGATGGAACAGAATCTGATTCAATCAAAAAAAAAAAAGTTTTTGATAAAGACATTGAGAAAGGCATTGTTAAGTGACCAAGGTCTGGCCCAGGGAAAGCGAGTCTACAGCAATGGATGGAAATCTCAAATGTTACTGCTTAAAGGAAATGGCAAGATAAAAACAAAATAAATATGGCTTTTTAAAAAAAAAAGTAATTTGTCTCATAGTTCATACCTAGAAAACAAACTCAGAAAGCCAAATAAGAACAAACAAACCTAAAATATCTATGTACAGAGTAAATCAGAAGATAAGGAACTGACACTTGCAAAAACAAAAAGCAGCTTCAGAAATAAGTTAATCAAACTACTGAAGCTAGACTGAACATTTCAGGTGGGATGAAACTATTCTCAAAACCCTACTTCCATTGACACCCCATTTCAATCAAGCGCAAGACTATAGAACAAATGTAGCAACTGCAATTTGCTGCAAGATCATATTATTTTCCAAACAAGGAAACACATGGGAGCCAGCCTATCCAGATCACTACAAAGTGTTTGATGTGGTACTAGAAGGAAAACTGTTAGCCCAGTGATTTAAGTGGATATGGAACTTGCAAAAGAGGAGGTTATGCAAACTTTTTGCTAATGCAATTGATTCTATTTAACGCTTTCACTTGTTTTCTATTCATCTAATAATATTCACAGATAACACATTATAGAATGTATTATACATATAAAAGAGTTAGTATAGCTATAGATAATTTCGAAGTGTCTTACAAGACACTGGATGACATTAAGTGAAGTAACAGAAATGGATTTAACTTCAATACCGTAAAACACCATCATGTTCTGAAAAGAAAATTTCATGACTCCTCATAACTGAAAGCTCATCCAGTAGAAACGAGTCTAGGCACCAATCATCAGAAAAATCAAGCCATTGTTAGAAAATAGTCAGGAAAAAGTCAGTAGGATCTATCACCTTCCGCTTCCAGGATGCACAGCAATGTACTTGCAGTAGAGATGAGAGCATTATTGCCAGTATCCTAAACACTGATAATATCTCATTTGGAATACTGCCTACACCCTTGGTCATCCACATTCTAGAGCTGTAAATTCAATGGGATCAGAAAGAGCTGCGCTAACAGGAACATGAGGGGAAGGAAGAGCCTCTCTCAGGATGAGAAGGGGTAAGTGAAGGATTGTTTGTAAGCACTGGAGCAAACACCGTTGAAAAAAGCAGTAGAGTATAAAAAGTAGTTTTTAAGAAACAGTTTGATTAGTTTACAAATAATATCACATCAGTTCTCCGTACAGTATCGGTTCACTCAGTGACCCAAGAAGCGCCTCTGTCTTACGTGCCATTCTCCTCACGTAGGAAAGCTCAGTGTGGGTAACACTGAAATTCCAGGGAGTCCTACACTGAAAAGAGCAAGCTCCACATCGTATAAAGTCAAGTACGGTGTCAGCCTCTGGCTTTTGAAACTTATTTTCTAGGGGTACCTACGTGCACGGAAACATGTAAGTGTAATGCTCATTTGGAAAGAGGGAAATTTACCCAGACAACTTACCTGAAAAATATCAACGCATTTTGGAAAAACACTGCTAATCCAGGGTAAACGTTAGTGTCTGTAAAGTAAATAACAGAGGAAATACTAAGTTATTTTGTATTGTAAAGTATATTTAAAATATTATTCATATTATCACTCTCATAGTCTCACTGGCTACAAAACTAGATGGCATTGCTCTGACAAGAACAGACCACATTTCCATTCTTCTGGGTCCTCTGCCTCCCAGCTTACAACAAAAATATTTTTCTACATGTGAAAATAAATCTCAAAATCAAAACACAGTTCATAATATTTTAAAATCATTTTAAACATCCGTGAAGTCTTTCTGAATTTCATTTAAATATTTGTGGTTATTTAAAAAAAAAAAGGGGGGGGGGCAAATTTCAGGTTACACAGAGTTTCACAACTTGGCAGTAATTCCTGAAATACAGTCATGGTTAGCTACCCATGTGTTTGAAGGGTTTTTTTTTTTTCCATATATAAAAAATATTACAAATATATTAGAGATATAGATATACATATAAATAATATACACATATAAATGTATTTGTATATAGTTAGATAGAAATAAACAGATAGATATAAAATCCATACTTGGATTGTTTGAAGCAGTTCATACTGGTGGTTCCTCACTCTCACTTCAACCCCCTTAAGCATCACTCACTAAAATCCATACAGTAAGGAACGGGAACGGCCCACTAGATGTTCAGATCCACTTGTAAAGCAAAAATCAAAAAAGAACCCCTAGACAAGCTGCCATGTCACAGGACAGATATGAAATTGGAGAAGAGTCCTTTGCATCTGATTTGATGACCATTCCAGAACAGCAGCAAAACTCATCCCTTTGCTAAAACTAATCAAGAAGGAAACTTACTCTGTGTAACATACGCTCCAAAAAGAATCCACATTGAAGCAATAAGTGAACCAAACATCAACATAAAGCCAATAAAGAGCCAGACACGAGCACCTGCAGGAAATATTAAAACTACTGAGAACCAGGTAGTATATTATCCATAATAGCAGATCATCCAGGGTACTCTATTACAATGCAATGTTAACTCCCTGAAGGTCCAAAGGGAAAGGATTAAAGCCTGTATCGAGGACAAGATATACCAAATTTTGCCTCCTTTAATACAACAGGTAGTAGTTGGATTCCCCATATTATAGGGAGCAAACACAATTCCCAGATACTTCCACTCATCTTTAGTGAATACTATCGCACAAGCCCTAACTTCCATCATTTAACACAACCTGAAGTGGACTAATTACAAGGGACTCCGCCAAAACTACATCATTTCTGAGGTAAGGACGGAGTTTCAACAGGGCACAAAATCCAAACCCTTCCTGGGTTTACTTCAGAAAGATATTTTCAGATGGGTGATATCCACCATAGCCAGACATTACCCCCCGGAAAAGCAAGATGACGACATTGAAAATAACCAACCTGCTTACTCATGAGAAAGGAAAAACATTTCTATGTAAAGGTTCTCTCCATACAGATTTATGAATGAAGTGTACAACAGCATCATAAGCTAGCTCAGAATCAGTAAATCGCACCAGATTTGCAGAAGGGCATTCTGCAAATAGTATGAAAAAAGATGCTGGGATCCCCATGGGGAAATAATAGTGAGGGAATTACAAATGAAAGTGGAGAGAGGACAACAGGTCCACAGACACCATACAATGGGTGACATACAAAAAAACCAGCATTTATTTCAGAATATATCACAGAAAAGATTCAAAGGATTTCAGCTCCATAGCTTACCACAAGGTAGAAATTTATTTCTCTCATCAGCTATACAGACAAGCTGAGGAAAGTTTTGGTATTCAAGCTATACAGAAGTCTAGTTTTCCTAAGTGCAACTTTTTAATGAATTCGGACCTTATCTCCAAGTGTTAAATTGTGCAGAAGTTAACTTCATAGAAATTCTCTCCTACTCCTTAGCTTCTGATTATCATTTATTTAACCAGCACTTAAAAAAAAAATTAATAATCAATCTTTCAAGTCAGCATGATTTTAAAGTGAGTTAATTTACCTGTCCTTCCTAAACATCCGTCACTGTAGCTGTCTCCTCTCACCTGTGCATTTGATACAGCATTTATCCTAGTAATAAAAAAAGTGTATACACTTCAAGTTATTAGAAAATCAATTCAAAGTTATAAGTAAAAAGCTAGCATTTTTTAAGATGCAATAAATTCTGGGAAAATTACTTAGCAAATCATTCCTGTATAGCCACGTATTATTACACATCCCTTAACGGAAGGAGTCCAAACGGATTTCAAATAAGTCCCCACATCCGCGCAGAAGTTTCACTTAAATGTTTAGATTAACAGATCTGTAAGCTGAGAGATCTGAACTGCCTTTTTTAGTGGCTGAAATATTCCCGGTCATTTTTTGACCATCTGTTTAAGTTCTTAAAACATCTAAAGCCACTTTACAGAACAGTAACAGCCAGTAACAGAGTGCTGTTTTGATTATGATACAAGCTACTTTTTGATGCCTGTCCTTCACAGTCAGCACTACAGATATTAAAGTGTCACATGCTCTGTAAGGAGAGACAATATGTTTTCCTAAAACAAGTTATGTAGCCGTGAAAAAAACAGCAGCTTTCAGGCAGCAAGCATTAAGAAGGCCTCGTGTATCCAAAAGCATCCCTTTTTCCCCCTCCAATGTCATGTGATTTAATCAAAGCTATTACTTCTCCTTAAAGCTTGTCACATTTACATTTTTCAATTATAATAAAAACTGTAATACTACTACTTCTACCATTTGAAGAGGTTTGGGCCAGAGAAACAGTTTGCAGAAATTATTTACGAACAGGGACAAATGCAATCTAATGTTTTTATATTCAGGTAAGCGACTGGGCAGCGTTACACAATTTTTGGTTCAAGAACTGGCATACTTCTTATAAAAGGCCACTTGCATAAAGGAAAGTCTGCTTTCTTACATTCAGTCAAAGCAAGTAGGAAAAGTAATTTACCTTAAATAGACAGAAGAGGATAGGGGAAGAAGGAACAGTGAATGAACAAACTACTATTAGAAACAAAGGCCACAGATATCAAAAAACAAACAAACACACACACACCTTTACACTGTCATACAAAAAGGTACCACAAAATTAGTTACAAGTAATTTATAACAAAGCAATTCAAATTTTTATCATATAACATATCACTTAGTAAAAACTGTGTTTAATAGGATACTTTTTTTTTTCTAAATAAATAAGTCTTCTTATATACACTTACATGAAAAAAGCTAGTGTTGAAAACACCCCACAGGTATGGAATGCATGGTTCATTTGTTCTGGCTTTGGGTAAACTACTGCAGCATCTATCATTATCCACCAACCTGTGAAAAACTAGAAATAAAATTAAACCAGTATTAGAAGGCTGGAGGGGTACAGAGACAGACAGCCAAAACACGGCAAGTGCTCATGTGTAACACTAGTTTAACAAGTATAAACTATTTTAGACAGCTATGAGCTTCAGGTCAGGCTTTAAACCTTTTTGGTGTGCAAGTTCTGTGATAACATTAGCTTGAATAAACTTTAATATTGATGTTTTCAAAGTAGTATTTAATTTTAATAGAAAATGTGATAAATTCCCAAATATCAAAAAATGGCTAAATTCCTTGCTGCTTCAAGAACAAGAATCCAGATTCTAAACATACACAAGATACAAACTATGTAAAATATGAATGCTATAATATATCTAATTATTCCAAAAATCCACTAAGTTTTTCACTCTTTTTTTAAAGAAAAGACAGCATAACTGGAACACTGAACAAAATGCAGATTCATGCGACTTATAAAAAAGCTGGCTAGCAAGTACACAGAAAAAAACTCAAGAAATACACTAGATTGAGGGGCAATTAAAAGCAAAACTTCATGACATTTTAAATAAAGAGCTGCAATGTCTGACATACTTCCAAATTTGTCAACACAGTTATAATCCACCTTCTCTCAAGACTCACCAATACACCTGCGACTATTGATGCAACCGCATTTCTTCTTTCACTCCAGTCAACACACTCACATTCTGGCCATCGGAAGTTGTCCAAGAATCCTGCCATTTCCTTAAAGACTAGAGTACCTTCCTTATTCTGTACTCATATATGAAATTTTCCATTAACAGCTGTGTCCTAAGTATCTGAAACATAGCCAAACATTTATTTAATACAAAGAAGTAAAATTTTGACATTTGACAAACTGTCATGAGCAGTCTTTAAAGTGTGTTTTTACATAACTGAACAGCTCATTATAGATTCTATGGATTCTATATTGAGCTATATTTAATTTTGTAAAACAAAAACAAACAAACAGAACTTTACTAACAGAATTGCAAAGTAGATTGAGCACAGAACCCAAAAAACTAAGGATTACATATAAAGCATCATTCTGAAACCAAAGAGAAATGAAATAGAACGTACTGTTTGTTCAAATGCATAGAAACCCAAAATCAAAAGCAAGTAAAAACGTACAAGTAAACAAGTAAATATTTCAAACTACATTCTACCCTCAAACCATAACCCTCTCTCTAGCATTAGCCACTAAGAAAGTAATATACATACAGTGGGACTTCATGCACACAGCAGAACTTGTGTCTGTGAGCCAGGCGAAGGAATTTTGGATAAGATGCCTGTATTTCCACTCTCCAAATAAGACAGATAATATAGTGCCCTTCTAACACACAGAAAAAGCAATCAACTCAGTGAATCAATTAATAATAAGAGTAGAAAACACCTTGCTTCACAGTCAGAGAATCAGTCACACAGAACTTTAAATACAGGCAGACAAAATCACAGAATCGTTTAGGTTGGAAGGGACCTCTGGAGATCATCCAGTCCAACCTCCCCGCTCAAGCAGGGACCTCTAGAGCATATTGCCCAGGATCGCGTCCAGATGGGTTTTGAATATCTCCAGCGAAGGAGACTCCACCACCTCTCTGGGCAACCTGTTCCAATGCTCTGTCACCCTCACAGGGAAGAAGTTTTTTCTCAGGTTTAGGTGGAACTTCCTGTGGTTCAGTTTCTGCCCGTTGCCTCTTGTCCTGTCGCTGGGCACCACGGAGAAGAGGCTGGCCTCATCCTCTTGACACTTCCCCTTCAGATACTTATACACGTTGATGAGATCGCCTCTCAATCTTCTCTTCTCCAGACTGAACAGGCCCAGCTCTTGCAGTCTTTCTTCACAGGAGAGGTGCTCCAGTCCTCTAATCATCTTTGTAGCCCTCCGCTGGACTCTCTCCAGTAGTGCCATGTCTCTCTCATAATCAAAGTTAAATATGAAAGTTATAAAGTGACTACTTTGACACAGTTCTCAAACACTTTGGTGAGATGCTAATAGCTATAAAAGATTCTGTGCTACATCTATTCTCAGGCTGTAACATGGCTTGCCTATATAGGTTAAGTGTCAGAAGTTAGACTATTTATGGTTTTTTTTGTTAGCAGTGACTCATAGCCATTTTTACTGCCCTTCAATTTTGGTTCAGTATTGTCAATGTCTGTATTTTCCTAACCTGCCATAAATAATTTGCAGATACGCATTAAATGCTAAGAAAATACAAAATGTCCATTATGATTATGTTACAGGAAAGACTGGTGTAAAACATCTTCTGGTTAACAACAGTATTTTAAAGTCCATGGTAAGAGGTCAAAAGAAAAACATAACAAATGCAGTGTTTATTTACACTATGAATAATGCCCACTTCTTATGAACAAGATAAAACAATTTGTGCTCCTGGGTCTAGTACTAGAAATCCATCCATAGTTATAATGCTATCTTAAGGCACTAAAAGCAATCGATTCAAAAATTATTTCACTTCTTTCAAATATCTGGACTCAACTATGGAGTTAATTTCATAGTTATATTTTTAGCTAGCCATTTTCAGAGTTTCCTGTTCTTTCTAGAACTTTTCACACAAAGTTGCAGTACTTCCTTATCAAAGGTCTTATGACTGCTCCTACCACACTTCCTTCTTTTCCACTCTTAAAACAGCTCCACGTGAACTTTATCTGTTATCCTTCAGCTTCAGAAGGCACCGCCACTTTTCCTCAACCTACAGTAACCCCTTTCTTCCCCTCCCAGCTTCCCTGACCCATACTGGAACGCAGCTCACGAATCTCATTGCTGTCTTCTCCATAGACTACAGGATTCTCATCCCATGCTACCCTGTGGCTAGCAACAGATAGGAGTAAAAACACAAACAGGCTGCACTGTTTTTCCCCACAAAACACAATGGAGGTCATGTCAAATCTACCAGTCATCTCCTTGTGCGCAAATACACTTTCAGGCATCCTCAGAGTGAAAATCAATCACCAAAACTATATTTTTCCTCTGGATTTTTTTCCCATAATGAACTATTTAAAAAGCATTAATATATCTAAACAACAATTCCTCCTTCAAGCATAATGTAAAATTAGGTGGTAACTCAGAAAACAGGTCAAGATAAGACACTGGATAAAATGATTTCAAACAACAACAGAAATCGTTTTCCATCCTCTACTTTAAGAATTGTCTGTAAAATTTTCAGATGACTTCAAGAACGAAAACTTTTTACTCCTATAAAAATGTTCCAGTTCAAAAGGCCAATGTGAAATGCAAAAATTCTCTACCTTCTGTGATTTAAAGGGCCTATACAGGTCATGTTGCCACATCTTAATGGCACTCTTAATATAAATAAGCCAACTTCCAAACCAAAAACTGACTAGTGTTTATCCTAGTAAAACCCTTTCAACTATGCAAAGTCCATAACAATAAGCATTATAGATAATCATACACAGCACAAAACCTGCCTTAATCATTAAGCATTTTTTAAACCTTAACTGACAAATCAAGAGATGTTTTGCTAACCTTAGAAATGAGACAAAACCTTTCTCAGCCCTTCAGTTAACTGTCTCAGATAACAAATGCAGCTTTCACAACTGCACTGATGACAAATGGCTGAAGCTAGGGAAACTAATGCAAACTTGATGAACTTTTTATACCTAAGACACAGGACCACCCTCAGAAAAAGCTTTTTTTTTTTTTTTTTTTTTTTAAATCATGAACTGTATTTTTGGTGCCCAATACAGGCTCTAGAACTTGCATTTTCCTTTAGCCTCATCTTTATGCTCAGAAGAGAAGCATCCTGTATAAAGTGAATAGATCAGATAACACTATCTGCTGGCAACTATCTACAACAAGAATGTGTAATTGACAACACAATTTTCCTGTTTTACTGGAGCAACATGACAAACACAGAGAAACAAGGTATAGAGAAGTTGCAAGAGAACACAGACATACAGTCTAGAATTACCTCTACATGAGCCTAATGCTAGAAACTAGCTTTGATTTCACAAAGGAAGCTCAAACTTGCATGCCATCTCTAGCACTCAGATTAGCAGTAAAACTAGCAGAGGAGCTAATTCCACTGCACTTTTTCTAATGTGATCTGAATATTTACTGGTGCCATCCAGAATTCTGCAGAGGAGCATTTCATAAAAGAATTTAAACAGAGCCCCATCTAACATTCAAAAAAAAAAAAAAACCTCACTACTTATATAGCTCCATATACGCATAGACTTCATACATACGCAACTAAAAAGTAGTGATACACCACCTCTCCCCATCCCGTTATTCAATGCACCCATGTTCTATGGCCAACATATTGGCATTCCTCTCTTTGTGACAGAATGATGCCACCTCTGATCTAATGCACGCCTAATTGAGGGCACCCATATATAGAGGACACGACAAATAAGGGCTACGGAGTTCTCAGAAAAAAGAATGGCAGGAAGCAGACTGCAGCATGCTAGAACAATTCACCAGCCTTAAGGCCAACCATCTACTTTCCCATGCCTTAAGGTGCCTTCAGTTAAAAGGGAAGAAAAGAACCAATCAGATTTACTGGGAGCACTGACAGTATAGATCCAACCCAAATGCAACAGGTTACCCACTCTCTCACAATTTGCTAAACAGACAGTTAGCTATTACACTGTACTGTGTTTCCAATGCTCCATATGTGTACACTTCTCAACAGCACAAGCAAAGAAGGAAGAAAATAATAAGCTATATTTCATCTGTAAAGGGCTAGTGACACTGTGAAGGTGAGTCTCCATCAAGACCACAACAGCAAGGCCATGCATTATTCTCACATGGGTTTATGCGAACACACACATAGGTTTTAGCTCAAATATATTCTACTATACAGACAGAAAACTCTAACAGAGATTTATAGATGCTTGCATTTGGGCTTTCTTACTTGAATAAAGGTGGAAGACTCGCTCTCCTCATTTAAAACTTTTACTGGAATCCACATACTCCACAGTAAGAAAACAGGTGGAAAAGCCTTGCATTAGCTGTCCTTCAATGTCCTTCCTACAGTCTGTCTCCTTCCCTGTTCCAAGGGCAGACAAACTCTCCCATAGTTCCCAGGAAGCATTTTGCACTCATGTCCAGTAAAGGGAAACATAAGAACACTGGCAAAAACAAACTGGTGACTTAAGAAATAGAAAGGAGAGTTAGACTCATTGCAAGAATAATACTCGGTAGAAAATAGCACCCAGGCTAAAACAACTAGCAGATATTCAGATGAATGAATGAAAACATACCACACAAGAGTTGGAGGTCAAAATTCTCATCTGAAAATCAGCTTCCCAACCTCAAATGAATCGATTCCACTTGAACAAAATATTAAAGCAGTCATGAGAAAATGCAAGAAGTATGCACAAAGAAAACCATCTTACGCTGATGCAAGGGCCATGAGATACTACTAGATTAACAAAGAACTAGTCCTCCTATTTCCAGAGGACGAAGGAAAAGACAGGAGGCAGGGAATAAATCATGAAGGAAACCAAATTCCCTTCCTTCCTCAAAGAGGGAAGCACCTTGCACAACCAATTTTAGAATGTTTTACTTTTCCCATATGCATGTACCATGAAAAAATATTTGGCATAGTAACCGTGAAGACTCATATGTGAACAAAAGTATTTCTTATCAAGTCCTTTCTATTTTTTTTCAAGATCTATAGACCACTCACTTATTTCAATAACTGTATGCAGTTTCACTTTCATTTTCCCCATACACTGTATCACAGTACTCTATTGTCTAGTTTACAAGTATTACAGAACGAAGGAAGAAGGAAAGCAACTTTTACATTACCACTTACAAAATTAAGGCTGTGTAGCAAAATTATTAAACAAGTAATCTCCTTACAAGGGTCTGAGAGTGATGCTCAGCCCTAGAGCTATGTGATTGCCCTTTATAGCAAGCGTTCTTCAAGAGAGCTATCAAACTTTGAGGACTTTGGAGAGGCAGAAAAAGATGAATTCTGCAATTATTCACGGGCCTATCTTTGCTCATGAAAGTACACTGTGTGCATCAGTAGTTCTTTGACGGGCTCAAGCCATGACAAGGCAATATGAGGCTGAATCCCAAAACTGCAGAGTCCAGACTGAAGTTATTACACCGAGGGCAGCATTACTTCGAAAAATAATAACAACAAAAAAGCTCATCCACGGACCTCAAACTTTCTACTCAATGTTCCTGCTTCCTTTCGCAGATGCAGGCAACAGAAATCAGAGAAAGATCTGCCCGCAGCCTTGCCGCACAGCAGCTCGCAGAGCCGGGCCCTGCTGCCCCCCCAGCCACTCCGGACTTGCCACCGTGGAGGCCGCGCTATAGCAAAAGGTCAAGGCCCCAGGGGTAGAGGGGATAGGGGGGGGGAAAAAGGGAAGGACAGAGAACTCCTTCCCTCAGGACAGAGCCTGAGGAGCACAGAGGACCCCTCCGCGCCCGCCCTCCCCCGCCGGCGGCTGCTC